ACACAACACCACTGTTTGCTTCAACTACCAAACGATAATTCTTTATAGCCATAAAGCCTTGGGGGACTCTAACAAGCTTCAAATTAATAGTTTGAAGTGAGTTAAATTAGCAAAATGCCTGTGAAATGAAATATCACAGTTTATTAAAATAACTTTTATAAACTTTGTCCGTGTTTATTCACATGAGTCATTATATCAGTCCTATTTTATGTGGAATATATTAGATTAATTGATTTTTCCAAGGGTAGTGGCAATAACTAAAATGTCTGTGGACTGTGTTTCATCATCCTGAACAAACACTAAACTCAAAATAAATAAATAGCTTATTTAATCAAAAATAAAATAAATAAACAAACAAGCATTGTTTGCTTTGTCATCAATTGAAAAGGTAAAGTTAAACTGCAGTTTCTATAAAATATTATTCAACCCGCTGGGAAGTTTTCCCCTTTTACTGCTGTTCAGCATTGAATTATGGTCAATAGAACTGTTCTTGCTTGACAGGAATTTACAAAAAAAAAAAAAAAAAAAAAACCCTCTTTCCAGTCAAAGTGAAACAGATTCTATTAAGTGTTACAGCCATTCTATCACTATTATGATATTCAGGGTCGAGTTGCAGCTTCAAATAATAACATAATTCTAATTTAAAAAATAATGCATAATTTCTTCATAAGCTCTTTGTGACACCGGAGCAGATAAAATCTATTAATATGCAAGTTGTTGTTAAGTGTAGTACGGTCTCCTGCCAGCCTCTCGAATCGGATTTGACCCACATGCAGCTATGCAGATGGATGGTGCACAGCAGTCACCAATAAGTCACTATAGAAATGAAACATTTAATCCAAATCACTTCATACTTACAGCTTTTGATTCCTTTGCTTTTTTTTTTTGTTAATAGTGGCATTAATATAGTTTCTTTCCTTATCTTGGCAACTGTCCCACAGCAGCAAGGTGGATAAGCATGATCATTCTGCATGCAGTTCACTGACATTCCAGCAAGTTCATATTACCGTTTATCTACCGATTCTTGACAAGAGACAATGGCTACTCATCCCTCAGCCACACTGATGGATTCAAACTAGCTGAGATTTATTGAATTAAAAAAAAAAAATCCATGGATGGAAAGTGGAGGACTTTTAATATGGCACTAAATTTCCCAAACTATGCTGTTCATTCAGAGGTTTTTTGTTGATGTTGTTGTTGTTGTTGTTGTTTTATATGCAAATAGATTTTACCAGAAGGACAGAAAACAAAAAAAAAGAATCCTATTATATCCTGTATTGCCATCACTGTAAGTAGGATGGAGGTTTCATACTTCATCATTAAACTGCCCCATGCTTTGGTTTACACCTGCAAAAAACATCTTCTCTGTTTGTATTATGTCATATTACCGTTCTACCTACTTTTCCTGGAGAACTGCTGTGATCCACAACTGAAAATGCATCGAATCAGGTGTGGAAATGGCCATCTTTGTCCAGAATTGGTCACACTTTTAACAATACTTACCATGATGTTTGTAAAGCCTGTTGATTAGATTTATGTCGGCCATGCAAGTTGGATCAGATGAATTCATGTGAGTTTAAGGAAGGAAGGACTGACATTTTTTTTGAACTGCAAGCTGAAATGCAGCTTGGGAAGTGATGAACAACCTCTGATCCAATGATGATGGGTAGAAAATGAACTGCAACACTGGTGTCATTCCAGAGTGCAACTGCACGCAGTAGCCAAACACATGTCACATGTGAGTCAATATTTAATTTACTAAGTACAGATTTCTACTCTTCAGAGTACCATTTGTGCATTTATTTATCAGTAAGTCCTTCTGTAATCTTGAATCAGCATTGTTGTGCTGGCATCGCTACATGAAGAGGGGGTAGCAGGGGCACTACACATTTCTGGCTGCATCCCCCATGTCTTTCTGGCATATAATGATTTTGTACTGGAGATGGAAACTGCAGGATCCTCAGAACTCCATGGAAAGCGAGATAATTGGCTTGCTTGATATTGCAGTTTTTTGTTTTTTTTTCTCCAACTTGGCGAAATACACATTTGTCCACTCTCACGATGGAACTGATTATAGGATTACTAGCACATGATTTAGCAAAAACGATGCTGGATGCCTATTTCTCCCTGCTCATTTAATTTAATACTGTGCCTTTTAACCTGCTTAATTAAGTGAGGAAAAAAATGGTTTTATTTCTGGAGGTTGGGCTGTTCAGTTTTAGATGTACTCAGATGTACTCATGGGTGTAATTATCTGCAACATGCATTTAGGCATTTT